GGGCCTCAGCGGGCCCTGCGAACCAGGGCGCGGGCGACGAGGGCCCGCGACTCCATCACCCCGCACCGCGCCGTCCGCCCACCCCGCGCTGGGGCAGCGACCGCCACCGCCCCGCCCCGCCCCAGGCGTGGCTCCGCCTCCGCCGCCCGGCCCGGCCCGACTCGCGGCGGGACCGCCGCTGCGGTGACGATGACGGTGGCCCTGGTGGCGCCGCGTGGGGCGCGGCCCCGGGAGAAGGCCTAGGCGGGCAGCGCCGGTTCAGCGGACGCTGGAGAAGGGAGCAGGGCCCGCCGCAACCGCCGAAGCGGCCCGAGCCGCAGAGCGGCCAGGGACCCCAAGCGAGCCGCGGGCACCCCCAGCCCTTGCTCCCCCGCCAGAGCCGGCAGAAGCGTGCGGAGGCGGGCAGGGGGCGTTCCCGTCCTCTGGTTCCCGGTAACCTGAAATACCCCCGAATCCACTTCGTTTTCAAATAGATCCACCGTCACACCGAGGTTTGTTCAGTTTCTTCTCCAGCAGATCGGAGTGACTGCAAGGGAGATGCAGCCGGGGTGTGCAAACAGTATAACCCTTGACAGTTGACAAGGAGCCCTTAAAGCAGCCTAAACCAGAACCTTTCCACACTCTGCATGTGCTGGCTGTGCATTATAGATGACTGCACCTGGCCCAACACCAGATTAAACTGGGTAACAGATTAATCTCTAAATTGAATTTTACCTCCCCATGGACAGAGGAAGGTATGCATGGCCCTGCATTCACTCTCAGAACCCCAAAGCTTGGCTAGGAGGTTTCATTAACACTTCACTAGGGCTCATATCAGCTCCATTTAGCAGCCTGTAATTACTGCCTTTTCTTTTTGCTGTTTCTATCCCTTATAAAATGAGCAGATCTCTGTAAGTATTAAATCTGCATTTTGCTGTGATATCTGCCGGTAGCAAGTTCTGTTTTAGCATTAGTAGGACAGGAACAGGAAAAAAAGGCCAGAGACAGGAAAATTAATTTTAGTAGATATAGGTTGTTTTCCCAGGTTTTATAAAATGGCCCAATGCATATTCAAGAATTGGCATTGACATCAGAGAAACCTCGATATGATGAGCTTGGCTATTTACCACCTCTTCCCCATCCCACACCTGGGAGATGTGGAGATGTGGCAGGTGGTTGGGATGTGATGGCAGTTTAATGGATTTACTGGGGAAATTAGAGTATCAAAAGAGAAGGAAGGTCACGGGGAGAATTAAAACTTGAAGAGTGAGAGAAAAGAGCAAAACATAAACCTGTTGAAACTGAGTTTCTTAGTTCATTGTTCATGGAACAGTTTGTTTTACACACTTAATTGGATAAGGTGCTGCAGGCAGGGGTTACAACTCAGCAAGATCCTTCCTGAAGTAACAAGGCTGGGCAGAAAACATTTCTTCCTCCTGAATATCCCCTTCTTATCAGTCATTACTGTACAGCCCTAAAGATTAGGAGCCAAATGGGTGCAAAAGTAAGCTCCTATCTTCAGATACCCAGTGATGAATTTTCCCAGGGGGGTGCTGGCACAGGAGAGAAATACCACAGATTGGTCAACTCTTGCACAAGAATTAGTGAGGTGTACAGTGAAAAAGTGCACAAGTGTGTGTGTCTGGTAGAGAGAAGGCTCTCAGTCTTGACAGCAGTAGCTGCTGCAAGGTTTGGATGCCAACCTGAGCCTTGCAGAAAGATATTTCCCTCTGCAAAGATGTGAGGCTCTTCAGCTAATCTGGGTCTAAACACAGAGAGAAAAACACAGATAGCATTTCAAAGCTGTCTAAGTGCCCATCTAACACTGCAATCTGCCTGAACTCAAAATCTCAGTGGAAGAAAGAATGGGATTAAAAGGCAAAAAAACCTGAAATTTAAAGATTATTCAAGCACCTAGTCCTCAACGGAGCTGCTAGATACTCTCAGAGCTAATAGAAATGCGCCTGGAGGGCATTAAAAGAAATACAAAAGCGTGAGTAATTGGAATAAGCAAACACTGACTCTTTCCTTTTCCCTGACATTTGCTTTAGTCAGATTTATGCATACAGAAATCAAGTGATGTGAGACTATTCTCCACTCACTCATTCCACCCTCACACTTCAGCACATGGAGTTCACTAATCTTTCTGGGAACTTCTCCTAAAATGAAACAAGTGAAACAGAGAGAATAGCAGAAATGGCAAATAATTCCTTTCTCCACCGTGTGATCCTGTAAGAGATTGCACTGAAAACTGAACCTACCAGCAAGATTCCTGAAGAAACTTCTCATCTCCAGGCTGTGTGACTGCACTCCAAAAAGAAAGCAGAAGAGGCTGTGAACAGCTTCTAGAGGAGGGGCATTTGTTTGAGAATCTCCTCCAATTCCCCTGAGAAAATGCATTTGGCAAAATTATACTTAATTCTGGATTACTCTTTTCCCGTGTTGCTGAAGATCAATCTTACCTCATTCAGTCTGATGACAATGCCCTGAAAATACCAGGACTGTGTTTGTGCTGTGCTGAGGATGTGTCATGGGCAGATTGCACAGCTGCCCCGAACTGAGGGAGGATTACAAAAGAATCCCCTTCTGCTGCAATAAAGGCCTTTTTCAAACACAGAAGCGAGTTAATAACTAACCACAAGATGCACTGTAGTTTAGTACAGGAAATAAGCTCCTATTTAAGTGGAAGTGCAGGAGGACATTAGGTAAACAGAGGAGGGGGGCTGGCTCTTTGCCAAAATATCAGTCCTCTAAAAGTATGCTGACAGCAAACTCTGCTGGATTTCTCACTGTATCTTCACATGGTTCACAGCCACTCTTCCATACCTCACCAAAAATATTGCTCTTTTGCCAGAGCAGTGCTTTCTGCAAAGTCCGTGTGAGAGATGTGGATCCTGCTGCCCACAGAGCCACTTCCTGCATCAGGCTGCCGCATGTGCGTAGCTCTTGCCAGCCCAACAAGATTGCAACAGAGACAGCCAGGACCATACATGTGGGCCTGAGAGCAAATGTCCATCACCCAAAGCAGTTATTTGCTGGACAGGCAGAAGCATCTGCACTGGGGCTCCTGCAGGCAGGGAGGCCTGTCCCACTCACACAACTCAAGGCAGACACCTTCGCAGCAGCACGGAACTTGTAGCAGCACTGCAGCTCTTTTTTCTTGCCAGTTCAAAGCAGAAGTGTTGCTGTATCGTGACCTCTTAAAATCACTCAGGGCGTTTAATCCTTTAAATGCACAGAAGTTCTGTCCTGTTTTGTTATTGTTAAGTGAAGGAAAATCTAAACATACCCTTATCTGCTGCATCTGTAAAACCCAAGGGTGCTGTCCTGCTTTCTTTCCCAGCTATGGCCTTGTCATTTAGGCATCATGTCCCACAGTGATTAATATTTTACCTGGCAAATGGATGCAAACTCTGTGACACTACTCTCCTCCCTGGCAACTGATCCATTTGGGTTTTCTAGAATGAAAACAAAGGGATGCTGTCAAAAGCCAACCTACACTCTCTGTGATAATGTGGTACTTTTAAAAAATTACTGCAAGGTTAACTCATGGCAGTTGTGTATCTTCTGGATTACCTCTTCTGCAATCAGAACTGCAGCTGTGAATTTTGGGAGGTCTGTTCTGTATTAGAAAGAAATAAAGACTATAAAAGTGAGAAGCTAACCTAAGATTTTAACAGTTCTTCTTCAGAATCCTCGGATTTTATTTTCTCCTTGGTTATCAATTAAGAAACCAAGCCAAGTATTTGAAGGAAAAGTTCATTTTTGAACTGAGAGTAGATTAAGGGCTGGGAGGCAAATGAAAGGGCTTTGATGGTGGAGAGGAGGCAGCAGTGAGTGTTGCTGAGACTGGTTTTATTCAACATCTTCATTCACAACCTGCAGAAAAGACAGTGCACAGAATGTCCAGGTCTACAAGTATTCCTGACCTCCTCAGGACAAAATGCCATGCCAATGACAACATCCTGCAGGATCTCACAAAACTGAACAAAAGGCACACTTGGCATAGGTGTTTCAGTATAGATAAGCGTAGATACACACGTAGAGGAAAATAAACCAAACCAAAGCTCTGATGCTGATGATGGAAGTGGCCATCATGGTGCAGGAAAGAGGCCTGAAGTTGCTGTTAACAGCTGCATGCCCAGTGTGCATCTGCAGCCAAAAAAAGCCAACAAAACTTTTGGGAAGCAGCAGGAAGAGTGTTGAGGGAAAGACAAAAGGTATAATTTTGTTGCTCTGTGTAGCCTCAGCATGACATATACTGAGTCCAACTTCCATGCCTGGTCTCTCACAGAGAATAGGAACATACCATTAACTATCAGTGTGGAAGATGAAACCATGATTTGTGGAGAGCCTAAATAGCTGAAGCATGCTTTAGCTGCCTGAAGTCCTAGAAAACAGCAGTGACAGATGTATGTGCTTTGACATCCTTGAAAAAGAAGCTGAGCTTCTATCTGAAACAGAAACTTTAGATCAGTCTTTGGTACCATCTCCTGATCTCATGGATTACCTGCAGATACAGATCCTCCTTTTTGTCCTTCTAAACAGGGATTTTTTCCAAGTACACTGTTGTATCACTATCGGGGGTGGCTCAGGGTTTACAAATGCATGATGGCATTTGGATTTTATCAGTCACATCCTAATGCTTTAGGATAAGCTCAGAACTTGATTTAAGGTAATTAACATGCCAAGAGGTTTATTTTAAATGCCTGCTTGTCTTTCCCTAGAGGTGACTTAGATTGCCTCCACCTGCAGTAAAACTAAACACTTATTTATTGATTAAACCCACTGGCATTAAAAAAGTCTGTTATTACATGGTATTCTACTGCCAAAATTTATTTGCAAAACAATAGTCACAACCCTTAAAAAGTAATTTAACCTGCACAGCTATTAGAGCCAAGAATGAGATTGAAAGAACACTCTGTTTGAAAAGAGCATCAAATTTGATAATTACTGCAGTGGATGTCTGTGCTGGCCATTGTTTTGGTACCCAAATCTTGATCAAGAGCCCTGGCAGTGAACAGACAGTGCATCTTGAACATGTCTCACCCATGTATGGTGGTATTTTCCAGCTGTAGAAAAGTACTTGAGAAAAGTTATGCAGTGTGGCCTTACCATTAATTTTGCTGCCTGTTGCCAGCTAACTTGACTGAACAGAACAAACACTGCCGTTACTGAGCAGACCCTTGGAATACACTGATTTTTGAATGCTTTACACATTAAAGATGTCATCTCTGGGATGCTCAGGAAGCTTTTTTTGCACAGGCTGCTCCAGGAGAAGAGAAGGCAATTTTTTTTTTTTTTTTTTTTTCCTTTGGTCTAAGTCTGCCACACATACAAAAACAGCAAAAGAAAATCACAGTCTGCGTGACAAAAAAGGATGCAGAGCAGTGCAATGTCAAATAGGAAAGAGGGATGGTTGAGTTTTCAGCTGGGAAAAAAGATAACAGGAGACATGATCTATCTGTGCTTATGTGAAACCTGTGCAGCTTCTATATATTGAAGGAAACAGAAGCTGCTTGAGAAGCCAGGTAAATCTCTTCTTACTACTCCAGACTGCATATGGGAAAGGTGGACTGCATCCTGCTTAGCTAGCCCTGTAAACCTATTGTGATTTTACTGACTTCTGGGGGCATACCAGTAAATTCTCCTTCCATTTATCACAACTGCACATCTAATTAAACAGCTTACAAAGTGGGGTGTGGAGGAACAGCAGACTGCTAAAGGGACCTACTGCACGCAGGTGTGTGTTGCTTTCTGTCCAGTACTGTGGGATTTCACAGTTGAGGAAGAAAAATCCCAGTAAGAGATGTCTGCTCAAACACATAACCCTTCAACTCTGAGAAGCACGGGTTTGGCTAATAGAACCACCACTTTATACTTTTAATGCTTGGCTCTATTAGGGTATATAATTAAATGCAACATACCATTGTGTCATTTGATTGATCCCTTTTTGCTCCAACATAGTACTATTACATGATGGTAAATCTTCTCTAGCTTATGCTCTTCTTCCATCCACCACATCTTTTTTCTTCCTTTTCCTCCTCTTCACATATTTGTTTGTTTATTTTTATGTTATTTAGTTTTTATTCAGCTGCTCTCTGCATTAGCCTCAGCATTAGGCAGCTTGGAAATCATCCTGCCAAGAAATGCACTACACACCCCGGCAGCAATAGAAAACAAGCATCAGAGAACTTAGCAGCAGGCCCAGGTACCCATTCTAAATTAATCATGGCTCTAGGAAAATTATTACGACAATGCAAAACAAAGAAGCCACTCATCAATGCAGGAAAACCACAGCAAAAAAGCCTGGATACAGAGAGCAACTGGGGGAAGAGACATCTGACACTACTGGACTGAATATGTGTCACTGCAGATCTGCATGAAGTGTTCTGTCTGGGCTGAAACAGCGATGGTGAAACCAATAAACTCAGGTCCCTGGCAGTGCTGTTGGGCATCCTCTCTCTGCCCACAGGCGAGGGGGAGGCTGTGCTTGTCCACCTAATCCAGTCAGGGCTCAGCATGGGTTTTGTCAACCTTGAAGCTTCAGGAGTTGAAGCAAAAGCCAGACAGCATGAGACTTCCATGTCCAGAGTGGCTAAGGAGAAGCCAGCTGACAACGTTCCTCTGCAAAACCAATGTTTAGTTTCATGCCTACATTCTTATCCTTCCTGCTATTATAAAATGTTCTTCCGTTTCTTGGATGTGAGCAACTGTGATACAACAGTGACTCATGTTTCCATGTCTTTAGTCGCATTACACTGAAAGGAAAATCCACGTCTAAGTGCTGCACAATTGCAAAAGGTAAGTTTTACAGACCCCAACAGCACCATAACAAGGCCCAAACAGCAACAATATGGTAATTCTGGACTCAAAGTGCATGAGGCTCTGGGCATGGCTGCATAGTTGCTAACAGATTTATGCAGCACTTCCAGCTGCCTGGGCTCAGCCAGCCAGCACTGCTGCTGAAACCCCTTAAATCCATGGCTGTGGAGAAAGCCCCTAGACCAGTGCTCATGGAGGCCCCGTTGCATGGTGCCATTTGGCACAGACTGGTTTTCTGGTAGGGGGGAAGGGCCACAGAAGTGGTTTTGTGAGAAGATGCTAGAAGCATTCACCATGTCCAACAGAGCCAATTTCTGATGGCTCTGAAGATGAAAATGCTGCTGGCCCACTTAAGAGGTTGGTAATGCTTCTGTGATGACCTATTTAAGAAGAAAATCAAAACAGCACACGGACAGTTAATTTTCCAGGGGTGGTGAGGTGCCACCACCAGGGCTATCCCAGTGCAGCACACAATGATGTGCTGCAGCCACTGCCATCTCAGCACGGCCTGCAGCGAGCCTTGCCTGCCTGGCCACCCCCAGCCAGCCGTGCCAGGGCAGCAGGGCAGGGCTGGCGGTGGCCTCTCCTTCCCGGCTCTGCCTGATGAGAGGTGTTGAACAGCTCCAGCTCCAGCCCCAGCCCCACCACCACTGCCCGCTCAGCGCCGCGGGGCCAACAGTGGAAACACAGAGAGTGATTGTCTGGCACAGAACCTAGACAAGATCAACCTCTCAGTGCTGTGGGATCTTGGACAATCTTTGAATTGGAGGAACTTGTTAGCAATAGTACAGGCAAAAGTTTTTCTTCTAGTCAAAGAAGAGGAGGAAGTGAGGACACGTGAGGGAGAACAACATGGTGGCACCAAGGTCAGTGGAAAAAGGGAGAGGAGGTGCTCCAAGCACCAGAGCTGAGATTCCTCTGCAGGCCATGGTGAGGACTATGGTGAAGCAGCTGTCACCCTGCAGCCCATGAAGTCCATGGAGGATGCAGAGATCCACTCACAGCCTATGGGAGAAGTGCTCACACTCTTAACAGCTGGATGCCAGAGAAAGATGTGATCTAGTGGGAGACCTGAATGGAGAGAGAGAGGGCTCCTGCTTCCAGAGATAGAGAGCCCTTGTTTCCCAACTAGAGCAGCCTATTCTTAGAGGACTGCACCCCATGGACAAGTGACCCACATCACAGCAGTTTTGGGAAGACTGTTTGCCCATGGGATGCACTCATGTGGCAGCAGTTTTGGCAAGACTGCTGCTCTGAGATTAGAGACACATTACAGAAATTTACAGAGAACTGTCTCCCATGGGAGGGACCCCCCAGCACAGCAGAGGGAATACTCCTCTCCCTGAGCAAACAGAAGTTGATGTCCAGTGACAAACTGACCAAAACCCCCACACCCTGTCTCTCCCTGTACTGTCAATGGGAAGGAGGGAGGGGCTGGGGAAAAAAAGATGCTTTAAAAGGTGTATTTTACTTTTCATTATCCTCCTTTAACTCTGTTAACAATAAATTTACTTTATACTTTTAATTTTCAACCTGTTTTTCCCTTAGAGTATTTTCTCCCAGTCCTCATCTCAACTCATGAGCCCTTCATTAATTTTTTTCTCCCATGGACAAGTGATCCACATCACAGCAGTTCTGGGAAGACTGTTTGCCCACGGGATGCACTCATGTGGCAGCAGTTTTGGCAAGACTGCTGCTCTGAGATTAGAGACACATTACAGAAATTTACAGAGAACTGTCTCCCATGGGAGGGACCCCCCAGCACAGCAGAGGGAATACTCCTCTCCCTGAGCAAACAGAAGTTGATGTCCAGTGACAAACTGACCAAAACCCCCACACCCTGTCTCTCCCTGTACTGTCAATGGGAAGGAGGGAGGGGCTGGGGAAAAAAAGATGCTTTAAAAGGTGTATTTTACTTTTCATTATCCTCCTTTAACTCTGTTAACAATAAATTTACTTTATACTTTTAATTTTCAACCTGTTTTTCCCTTAGAGTATTTTCTCCCAGTCCTCATCTCAACTCATGAGCCCTTCATTAATTTTTTTCCCTCTCCTCTGCCTAGCTGAGAGCAAGAGAGGGTGAGTGAATGGCTTTGTGGATGCCTGGCGTTTGGCCAGCGTCAAACCACAACACATGGCCTCTGTTTCCATCCAGTGGAGCAGCGCAGCTGCAGTGCTGGCTGCTGGCTCCACCGCCTCCTCAGCCTGCAGGCTAAGTGCTCCAATGCAACCTGCAGGAAATACCTGTAACTGACAGCCTCTCCCCTTCAAGGATCCTGACTGAAGAAGCACTCAAATACCTGACATTCACACTATTTCAATGAGTCACACTCAATTACTGAAGAATCAGTACTTTAATTGCCTGACCTTCCCAACAAACACTTGTATGCTGAAAATAACCAGGAGCAGAAACAGTTTTATTCTGTGGCAGGGATTTTTCTCTGCTTTAATTTTTGAAGGATTTCTATGAGGAGTTTCAATCTGAGGTCAAAACTGCACATTTGAATCATGTGGTTAAATTTATGCTTAAAACTGGTAGAAATGTAACCAATGCACGTCATACTCTAGAGATTACTTAAAGAAAGCACTAGAGAACAAGACTTAGGAAAACACTGGAACAGTCAAGCACTCCACCCATTAGAATGTAGTGCCTATTATGGTACCTTAGTACCTATTATGGTACTAAGAGAAAAAAATGCAGTGTTCTCTGTGATGCTCATTGAGACTGCTTGGTTAAATTCGTTTCCTCAAATCCAAGACTCTTCTCATCATCACATTTGAACAGCTTGCATAAATAAGGTACAGTACAGGAACTGTATGTGCCTCTAATTAAGAGCTGAACATTCAGAAATGCAACACTTCTCAAAAACAAAAGTCATCAGGATGTAAATCAACAGAGACTCTGCTTCTCAGGAATAAAGACTTCCCACCGGGCCCACTTCCCTGACGCCCAAACTCCCGGAAATATTTTATTGGCAAACTCCACAAAATAGTTTTATGACTCGGGAGACTTATCTGAAACTTCAGGACTTCATTTCTCAGACCATTAACACTGAATTTCTATTCCTTCAGGAGCAGCCAGGCTTTGATGTTGACAGGAAAAGGAGTCTCAGAAGGAAAATCCACTCCATACACAGGTTCATGACTACAGCAGCACTGTACAGCTCTACTGAAAGAAAGAGCATAGCCATGAGAACACAGACTTTACAACCTTGAGATTAAGATGAGCTCAAATATGTATTTGACAAAAATACAGAAATATCCACTGTCATATTCTAATAATACAGGAGCTACTTTGCTTTGGATAAAATGTATTTGATAATTTAAGGTTAAAACAACTTTCCATATGCATTAGTACTCAGCAAAGTAAAAAATATCAAGTCTTTACACTCAGACAGAAAAGACAAACTGACTTATTTGACTGCAACTTCTTTCAGGCCAAGAGGTCTCTTGGTCAGTAGTGCCCTTACTCTGACTCCACCTTTCTCTGTCTGTGCCTCCTTCTTTACATTCTGGGCCTTCTGCCCAAATCCAGACCAGTTGGCCAAGACCTCAGCCTCTAAAAGTCTCACATAGAGACTATGCAAAACATCTTCAGTTTTAACAGTTGTACCAACCATCCTTAAAAAAATAAAACAAACAGAACCTCTCCTGCCCTGATCATCTGAAGAATCCTTAAGGGTCCAGGCTAAAACGTCAGCTTCCTAACAAGGCCTTTCGTGTAGCCCTGAGGTAGTTTCTGTCCGAGGACATTCAGAGCTCAATCTTATGCAGGCCACAGTTACACTAATGGACTGGGTTTAGAACAAAACTGCCCTCTGCTGCCCCACTCTTTGGGTTTTGCTTTGTACTTACACGCACGTTAATAAATCAAAGCTATTTAAGGAAACCAACATGACAGCCATTAATGCAACCATGCCAAACAAGAAGACAAGTGCCATAGATAAGGAGGGTAAGAGCTCTCTCTGTCTCATCCTTCCCTCCCTTCCTGTTTCTATCTGTTTTCAAAGCCTTTCTTCATCCATGCCAGGGTTTTTTGGTAAAATCAGCTGAACCACATTAGCAGCCCAGGGAGGCAGGAGTTAAGACACATAGAGCCTAAGGCCACATATTAAGAAAGGTATGCCTCCTCCCTTCTCAGTGGGAAAAGCTTTCCAGAACCAGCCAGTGCAATGGTGAAGCAGATGGTGATGACAGGTGGGGGTTTTAGTTTTTATTTTAGCTTCTGGAATTAATCAGCATAGCCACCCCACAGAAGCATCCTGTGGTCTGGGGAAGTTGGCTTCACTGAAAGAATGCAAGTGAAACTAAGGCTTTCTCCAACAGCAATAACAACCTTGCCACTCCCCCTGCCCACCACTCTTGAAGCACTTTGTCATTTCACTCATCTATTAAGAAATCCCTAGAGACTATTTCCCTAATCCTACTCTAAATACAGGTCTACAGCTTGGACAGTGTTTTCTTGATACCAAATGGAAGTAGGGTCAAGTTTCAAGGCTGTTGTAAAATCAAAGGTAAAGTTGCCCTCTAGCCCCATCTTACTTTCAGCCTTTTCTGCTGTCTGTTCATAGCTAGCAATTTTGAATTTGAATTTATTCTTTTATAGAAGCCATACAGCACTGTAGTGTAACAGAACAAATGTGACACCTGCAAAAAATGCAGCATAATCAGAGATTAAGATGGCACTGTGATTTCTTTCCTGCCACTGCCTTTTACATGGATATCTATCCAGCTCTGAACCTCTCGAGGATTTTATTATCTACCTTTCAATACACAGGTATTCAAAAATAATTTAACACCTATTTCTGATGAAGTACATTCTGTGCCTCATTTTAGTTTCACACTCAGTGAGAGGGTACACACACTTTACAGGACAAAAAATTTAAACCATGACTACTTAGTAAATTATGCATTGTAGTGATTGAAAGACAACAAGCATCAGAGAAAATATACATGCTGAAGCCTGATGTATCTACTACATTGTGAAATCTTCAGTGATATGACAAAGAATTTGTGGATTTTTCCCCCCAATTACAAGAGAACAGAGGATTTGTCAGACATTGATTCTGTAGCTTCTAGTGTCCACTCTATGCCTCCTTCCTCTTGATGATGAGAGGCCCAACGTTGTCGCCAGTTTCCTCGTTGTGCTTTGTGTGAGAGCCATCACACAATGGGAACTGAAAAAAGAAAGAATAAACACATCTAAAGTACACCCAGAGTCAGAACTGAGAACCTAGGCTGAAAGTTTATTAGGCATCTTCTCATTAAATCCACTGAAACCACACACCACAACTTTTATGCCAGCATCTCAGGCCTCCCTGAGTTTTGGCTGAACGCTAGCTTTATCCTTATTAGTGTAGAGCAGACAAGAGGCTTGTTCTAAAACAGCAGCCACCAAACTCCACTCTTTGGTGTTCCTGCCTCAGGTGAGCAGGAGAAAACTACAGCCTGAGCAGACCTTCAGCTGTAACCTACCTGGAGTATCTTACTCTCAACCTTGCCCCACACTTCCTCAGTGCTGCCCTTAAGAGCCACATAAGTTGAAAGTAATTTGAAGAAATATTTGTTCAATTTAAAAACCCCAAACAAACCCCACCCTAGAACAGCTGGTCAGAGGAAGAATTACAGGGACTCCTTTACCCAGCTCTAACTGGCCAGGTCCCAGAGAAGTGATAACTACTGCTCCTGGGAAGCTCTTATCACATGGAAGAGCTGAAATACATTCTGTGAGGCAGTAAGAGTGAGGCTGGATCCCATCACTTCTCAAGGATGCATTTTCAGGGCTATGCCACCTCTGCACAGGAAACTCTGGAGACGAGCACAGAAATCACACACCAGTATTCTGCACTCAGTTACCATTTTGTTTGCTTAGAAGTAAAGGGACTGAAAGTTGGGCATTACTCAGCTTTTGCCTCTGCAACAGTACTATTCTCCTGCAGTAGAGTCACAGTCAGTACTCAACATTCCACTGATCTCAATGTTCCTGCTTCAGTCACAACCTTTGAAAAACATTAATACCCTACCACCCATGCTTCATTAGAATAAAAGATTTCAAAGTACTGCAAAAAACCAACACAATGAAACAATATACAGAGCTTTAAAAATAACACCACCTCGTCTGTAGGATAGTATTGGGAGGGAAGGAGAGAGATGAGGTGTAGAGGTTTCTTCTGGCTTATCACAGTAAAGAAATGTCAAAACCTAAGCTAAAAATGGCATGCAATATTTCTGAATAAAGAAATATTGAATACTCATATAAGCTGATTCATGGAGAAACCTTCTCAACCCATCAGTCATTTGTGACTCAATGAATAAGTAGTGACAGACACTTGGACAAAATCTCAGCAAACAGGAATGTATGTTCCTGGAACACTGGCCAGCTTTCAACAGATGTTCCTAGGCCAGTTGTTTTCCCATGCAACACCACAATCCACTGGTCTTCACAGATGCAATGACACAACTTCCAGCAGACATTAACATCTCACAAGCTCCAAGGATGCAACCCAAAGTCCAGCTACAGCATCATCACTTCAAGTTTCCAAGCAACAAAAATGGTGGGATTCCTAGGTTCAGATCGCATGCAGACACCTTTAAC